CTCGAATGAAATGATAGAGAAAGAGAATTGAGTTTTGAGTGTACAAACGTTTCTGAAGGCTTTCTCTCTGTTAGAAATCTATTTCTGTTCGAGAACATCCGATGTTAATATAATTTTCATAGAATGTCTGCCTTATCCTTAGTTTTAAATCGACACTGATTAAGAAAAAGATTCAAGTTTTTCTGTATCAAAATAGCTACACGCCTCTTATTTTTTCCAGTACAAGAAGAAGAGTGTTTGCTGAGAGAAAAGAGTAATTTTTGTTTACATTCTTTACATGTGTATTCAAAGAGATGCTTTTCTTCGTCTGCTCTATGATTCTTTATTTTTTATTTTTTTATCATCCATACGAATGAGGATGTACCATAAATAATATGAACATTGATACTAGTTGAATGATGTCATTATTCTTTCATCTTAAAAGAGTTTTTTCATAAAATAACCAGTTTAGACTACCACCATGCTAATAATTGATTTGATACTCTACGCAAAAATATCTAGTCCAACTAGACTTGATTAGTATTTCTTCTGTGCATGTAAATGTGATGCCGATGCTTGTTTTTGCTTTGACGTCTTTATTATATATTTTTTTAATTTGATTGCTGGACAATACAATAGATTATTCAGTATGAATACACCGCATTTCTCTTGTATAAAATTTGTTTGAAAATTGTTTTTTTTAGACTGCTTAGTTTCGACTAATAAAATATTTCAGCATTATGTTGTTGTGTATTTTTTTCTTTTAGCATGAACTGATGGACATATTCGCGTTTGTTTTTTTTTTACATGAAATCTCGCATGTCTATTGTCTTTTCTTTTTTTGTTTTTGATAAACGAGGAACGTTTTATTTTAAAAATTAGAATGATTTAGAAATATGTCGGTGTTTTGATTGTACTTAAACTTTACTCAAAGATAAATTTTACAGACTAGTAAAAAGTTGTTTCTTTTCTTGTCTCTCATCTTAGAAGAATTTTGCTTACATTCATTTAATACTTTATTTTATATTGGTGATTTTGATCTATTGTAGAATCAGTTGATAATAGTGTGCTAATTCTATAGCGTGTTTGATAATTGATCAATTATGACGAGTCCAATGAAAATAAAAATTGGTATTATCGGTGGTAGTGGATTTGATCGTAGTGATATTTTAACAAACCGTCAAGAACATGACATTGATACACCATATGGAAAACCAAGTGATAAGTTAGTTAGTGGTCAAATAAATTCCATTGATTGTGTATTATGTTTTCGACATGGTCGACAACATTTACATAATCCATC